CTATGCTTAGAACAAGTGCAGAATGTAGACACTATTAAGAGATAATAAAAATGGAGCTCTAGGCACTTACTTTGTGTGAAATGGATGTTTTACTAGGAGATCATAAAAATGGAGTTCATATGAAATTTTAGGTGGAATTAGAACCATATATTCCAAAATTTGTCAAATTTAATGAAATTTTGAATGTGATATTCTAGTTCTTTGGGAAAATTTTGTATAAACTCAATAGTTTTCGTTTTAGGTAAAAATTTTGTCCTCTGCTAGATAAAATAGGTGTGGATTTACAAGAATTCCATACGCATTTCAGATTTATTCCAATCATAGCCTATATGGTGAAAAAATTATCCTTAATCTTTTCTTTTCCTTCAGTTCCATTTCCTTCTTATTGATATTATTGTCCTCAAACTTTCCTCTCTTTTCTTTACCTCCAAATACTTTCCTTTGTACCAAACATGCTCTGGGAGCCTCACTTGTTACTTTAAATGTTCCTTTTTCTAATTCTTGTATTGCTTATTTTGCTAATACAGTTCAAAGGCAAGTTGGAATATGATAAATATATGACTTTCTTTTTAACTCTGCTGTTGATTAACCAGACACTCTCAGCTGCGGACCTTCGTGACCCTGAGATATCTGCTCTTATAGCAACAAAGTTGAGAGAGTTCCACAATCTTGACATGCCTGGTCGTAAGGAGATACTTCTCTGGAGCAGAATGAGGTAGCATGCATAACAAAAGTTTAGTTTATAATTAGTTGTAGAAATGAAAAAAGTGTTTGAGAAACTATAGTGAAAATATAATAAAATTCGGCATGGTTTCTGAAAATAACTTTTTATCCTTTTAAACACATATTTCCAAGTCTTATTTTTATTTTTAACAACTATATGTATATATATACATATATATTTGTAAAAGTTGTTTTCTACAACTAAATAGGGCCTTAAAATTTCTCTTTCAAACTGAGACATCTAGTCCATTCTTATTTTCCAACTCAGGACATGGCTTAGCGAGGCCAAAAGTTTATGTTCTCCCAAAGATGCAGAGGAATTTAAGTTGGATATTCTAGAAGATGAAATCAATTTTCTGGAGAAAGAGTTGACACTTGATGGTCAGGAGATTGGATTTTGTCACAATGATCTGCAATATGGTAATATCATGATGGATGAAGAAACGAGAGCGATCACTATAATTGTGAGTATCAATCACTAAGAGTATGTTTCCTTTGATTATGGACTTAATTCCAGAGGTTATCATTTGGTTTCTTTCTAATAGATTCTTTTAGCATCAACTAAGCTAGAGACTGCTGTTTGAAAATGTTAGGAACAATTTGTCCTAGCCTCCTATCTCACCAATACTGCCCACATAATTGACTCTTTCATCAGGTTCAGACCCTTGGCTCAGCTAATTAGTGTTCATCATTTCAGATTTTGCTTGTGGCCATGTGTTTTCTGAGTTTAGTTTAAGCATTACTGTGTGAAATTGAAAATGGTGATGAAAAAAATTCCGCATATTGATTTGACTAATGATTGTTAACTTTTCTCCTTTTTACCAAATTTTCTAAATCGGAACCGTAAATACAGTTGCATGGTCACTATCACTTGTATTAAAATTGCAGCTGAAGTGTGCAGTCCATTGAGTATATGAAGCAAAAATACAAGAGGAGAAGCAGGATAAATGGCCTGCCTCTCTTTTGAGGTTCTCCCATTCTCTTCACTTTTTAACCAGTTACTAAATGCTTTGGAAAGAAGCAGTTCCTTTTTTGTTTTCTCATAACTTTTAGGCCATTTTTTGCTTCCATGACTTACTCTGTCTTCAACCACACTAGATTTGCTGTCTACTTCTTAGCTTGTTGACTCTCGCAGATAGTTGGATAAGTCGCAATATAGAATGTAACTCAACTTGTTCTTATGTTCGTGCTCATGCAAGTTTGCCAATCCAATTTCTCTAGTTTCTGATGAGTGATTGTCACAAAAATATATTGTTTCAGTTCCTCTATCTTCTGTTAAGTAATATTGGAGAAACCATATCATAAAAGATGTACTAAATGTTTTGAACATTTATGTGTTAAAAATTCTTGAAATTTCTTTTCTCTTTGCAGGACTATGAGTATGCAAGTTTCAATCCTGTTGCTTATGATCTCGCAAATCATTTCTGTGAAATGGCAGCTGATTACCATTCTGAGACACCACATATTCTGGATTACAGTAAATATCCAGGTGAGCAGCTACGGATACATGTTATTCATTTTCTCTACGTTAATGAAGATAAAGGCACAATACGGAGAACTTAATCTAACACTAGTAACTGCAATTGAATAACAGCATTGGAGGAACGAAAAAGGTTTGTCTGCATATATCTGAGTTCTGAAGGTTAGTCCTCTTGTCATTGTGGTTGGCCAATTGATAAGAAGGGGGACCAAATACAACTTTATATTCTAAAACATCCATTTGCATAGGCAACAAACCTAGTGAGGAAGAAGTGGAGCAGCTAGTCAATGATGCAGAGAAGTACACTCTTGTCAACCATGTCCTTTGGGGCTTGTGGGGGCTTATATCAGTGAGTCTTCTCTCTGACTTCAGGTTTCTTGCTTATCATCTCGAAAAAAGATCTTGAGATTTTCAGATTTTGATTTCCAATTAACGTACAGGGATACGTAAATGAGATCGACTTTGATTACACTGAGTATGCAAGGCAGAGATTTCAGCAGTACCGGTTAAGCAAGTCGAGGATCTTATGTCTTGGGGACAATAATTTCTCCATGACAACAGAGACAGACAAGTCTACGTGTATTCTAGATTAAGAAGTGGTTAATTGTGTGGTTACAGATGATGTAAATACAAATGGAAATGGCTGTTTCTTTGGTGTTGTTTCTACGGAATATGTTGGTGGGGACTTGTCGAAATATGATACTGAATATTAGAAGGCTGTTGCTTCTCCTTTCAATCTATTAGTTTTCTATCACTATGACATGCATTATTTTAGAAAGCAAAGAAATGGCCTCATGGAGTGCAGGTCATTGTGATTTGACTTAGTATTTGGTTATGAAGTGTTTTAAGTGCCATTTTCAAATTTATTTGTATAATGATGTAAAATCCACCTGATTTATTTTGTAACTTCAAAAAATTATAACCAATTTCATTTGTGTTGAATCCATGAGAACAAAAGGTTTTCAAGGAGTTATCTCCTTTATTCAGCAGGTACGGTTCATAACTGCAAAGCACCAGTGGTCTAATGGTAGGATACTACCCTGCCACTGTACAGACCCGGCTTCTCTTGCCTTTTTTTCCTTCCGCATTGACCATGATATCTGAAACATAATTATTTTTATGAACATAAAAATAAATAATAGTCACTCATTCTTTGTAGAACATAATTTTTTTTTTTTTTTTGCTATTACAACATCCTTGTTCAAATCTGAAACATAATATCTGAGACCAAAGAAGTAAAATGTCGAAACTGTAAACAGAAGAATCAAATCCGAAGGGCTTATTTTATATTTTTATTGAGGAAGTGCAGCCATAGAGCGCAGATTGTCAATAATTGAGTCAATTACTGCATGAGACTGAGCTGTAGCTGCAAGCTTCAAGTGCTTAGGAGCTTCAGCTCTGTCAAAATACAATGCACCAGGTACCAAATTTTCTTTTGGCTGCAATGCCAACCAGATAATTGTATCTGCACCTTCTGCACTCGTCCTAAGCTTTCCCGAAAACCTGGAGTATATTTTGATTTACAAAAAAAAAATGAAGGGAGAAAACAATGAGTGATAAATAAGGAACAAAGTTGAGAAATATTAAAAGAAATGTTTATAAGAAGGATTGTTTCAACGTTTTGAGCGCCAATTCAGGGAAGTTGCTTACGATTTATTGAAACCAGGTAAGCTCTTAGCTATTCCAGGTGTCTCGGCCCAACCTGGGTGCATAGAATAGAATCCAATTCCTTTGTTCGTGTACATTTCAGCCCACTTTTCTGTAAGTGCCACCTGACAAGCAATGATACTTAGCATATAGATATCAAACGTTTTGCCTAAATCCTCACAGGGAAAAAAATAAACCTAATCCTTATTTTGCCAACTGTAATAGATTAATATTATAAAAAACAAACTAAACCTCCTAAGCACACCTACAGAAAATATGGCACTGGAAGAAGGGACGAATTTTTGGATCGAATGTCCATCTCATTTACCATCTTTCTCTTCAACAAAGATAGCATCAAAAGAAACACAATAAGGTCTAGAGTCCTGACTTTTAACTGCAATTTTTTTGGTTTGTATACGGTAAGAGTGCTATTTACAGTTTATAACTAAGTACCGCATGTGCTAGCATTCACTGCCTTCATCCTTGAATGAATAAATTTAAACACCAAATGGTTCATAAGGGGGAAAAAGGGTGATATCTTCTTTTCTCTAGTAATGTCAGAGGTTGGGGGATTCAAACTATATCTGACCTAGGGGCAGGCAATGGTACAGAGCAAAATTCCTATTCAGGAAGGTTTGGAAAGAGAAAAATAGCCTTCCCAACCTCCAATGCCATTTCTCTCAATTAAAGAGGAACGGAAATGGGAGAGCTAATAGTAGATACGAGCATCTAACTGAAATAATTCAGCTCAGATGGACATATAGTAAAAAATTATAAAATAGTCTTGACACTTAAAATAACACGTGAAAGGAAGCTTCATGGTCTCAAGAATGAGCATTGGAACCTATTGGTACAAGTCAATTGACACAATTACATAATGTTCTCATCTTTGTTGACAATCACCAAAAAAACCAAGATTAAGAACAGAGAATGTAAATCTTCACTACCTTTCGAAGAGAATTTCTGCATTTCTACTGCTGTAAGCATACTTGAAACTGCAATTTATAGTTCAACCTCCAAAGACAGCATTCAATAAAAAGAACATAAATTCTTCAGTGACAACGGAACAACCAAGTTAGCAATTAAACCAACCTGAACTCGCTTGTTTCGAGCATATTGCACTACCCCATCAAATTTTTCATCACTATACTGCAAAGACAACGTCATTAGTACAAGTATTAAGAGGTGGAAATGACGATCATCCTCAGAGACTTTGTCTAAAGTAGAAAATAGTTACCTGCAGATCTGTGGTTAAAGGAACTGTGTACATTCCACCTGAAGAAACAGTGATGACTTTAGCATCAGGTGCCGCTTTTTCCAGCAAGGGCAACATTAACTCTGTCATAGTATAAGTTCCTAAAACATTTACAGCAAAATTCATCTCAAATCTGTTGGCACAAATAGAAATGAGTATCAGTCCATCAGTCTTTCTGAAGGAAAAAAATGAAGTTTTCTCAACACAGATTATAATGCAAGAATGCACCCCTCGGACGTGGTGACCCGTTTAGTTTCAAGGAGGCCAGCATTATTAACCTAAAGAGAAGAAAGTACACTCAGATCAGATTTCTAGATTTCTCACAACCGATTAAAAAAACCTTAAATGGTTTTTTCTGTATAATTCACAGAAAAAGAAATACTATCCTAACATGCATGGGCAAGCATTTGCTTACAAATTCATAGAAGACTGAGGAAGAAAAGCACAAGCTAAGTTTTAGTATTAAATACACTCATGTGAGGCAGGAGATATTGTACCATCAAGGGGAGAAAGGCTTAGCTCACCAGAACATGAACTGGGATATCCTTAGAAGCAAATCTGGATACAAAAGACTTTATCTCGCTTTGGGATGAGAGATCTAATACCTGAAAGATATCTAAATAAGAAATTGAAATTCAAATCGCAAACAGACAGTGGTTGAAAGCCAAATTCACCAAACATCAAGCCATAAATTCACAAAACCCAAAAAAAGAAAAAAATTGAGTTCTGGCTTGTGATCATCCTAAAATAATGAAATAACGTCTTCTGTGACCACCAAAGGACAAAAATGGTTAGGATACTGAAACAGTTCACCTCCAAATGCACATTTGTATTTCCCGTTGCAGACTGAATTTTAGATAGAGCGGCTTCTCCCCTCTCTTTGTTCCGGCATATCAAATAGACAGTTGCCCCACTGAAAAAAGATGACAAAATATTGAACAAAAAAACTCAATTCTATATTGAGCATATTCAACATTGTTCTTTTATGATTAAACAAAATTATAAAAACCAACACCATGAAGCAAGGCCCTCGGCAGCAGCATAACCAATGCCAGAATTAGCTCCAGTAACAATGCAATTCTTTCGATCAATTTTCACCTGCATTTCTTTTTCTTTGAAATTTTTGGAGTGTTCCCTACAAAACAATCAAAATTTTTGTAATGCTACAGGACTACTTCTATGGTGTTATGCTTTGAACCATGTCCACTCAAATTCAACCATGTCCAGAAACTATAGTGTTCTCAATACATTGAAGCACAAAACAAAAAACAAGCATTCATTCATAATTGTCATGCTTCAGTGCAAAATCCCCAAATACAAGCTCCATTAAGAGAGAGAAAACCTAAAATCTTCTCCTTAAGGCTTTATTTGGAGAGAGAGTAGAGAATTAAAGTAATGAATGGAATGAAATTTAATAGAATGAAACATAGAATTTTTAGTTTTTTGGATAAGATAATATGTGTGTTTGCAAGAGCAAGAATCCCTCAATCTCCTATATTGTCCAGAGATTAGACAGTTGTGGGATTCAGCTCTTTGCCTTACAAACTTGAGCTGGGTACCATCCTGGTCGGTTGAGCAAGAGTTACGTGACTTGATTACTGTTGAGGAATGTAAAGATTGGAGAAATTTATCAAAGCTCATTGTGATTGTATCATTTGGAAAGAAGAAACAAAAGAATTTTCAAGGGCATTTGCTCTCCTTTGATAGAAGATTAAAGATCTTTGGTTCCATGCCCTAAATATTTTGTTGACAGCAAATCCTGTTCTATACAATAGGGATTTGTTAAATGTTATTAACATTCTGACTTCTAACTTTTGGTAAATCTTTTGTTTTGGATTCTACCCCCTTGGGTTGCATCTCCATTTGCATTCCGTCCATTCTTCCTCAATTTAGAGAAAAAACAGTTTACACCTTAACCCCATTTTCATTCCGTTTCATTAATAGATAGTCTCCCAAACAAAATTAATTTCATTCCCTAAATTTTCCATTTCATTACATTCCCTCCCCCTCTCCCAAAACCTGCCCTCTAATTTTAGACAAGAAAAAGAAAGTCACCCTTACTCCCCATAGCAGAAGGAAGAGCAACCATCAAGTGACCCAGAGATTTCTATAGGCTATTGATCTTGCAGCATATTGTAAGAGAAAGCAGAGGAACAAAGTGCCACCACTAGCAAACATTACAGCCCAAAATTAAGCAGTAAACACATGTGATTTGGGCTTACAGGAAACCGTTTTTGGTGAAATTAAGGTAGCCATAAACGCCAAAAGCTGTTGTTCTCCATGTCTGTGAAAACACAAAAACCAAAAACAGTAAAGAAAAAGAAGCAACTAAATCAGAAAAAAAATAAAATTCATGATGAATATATCATTTTTAAAAGAAATTTCTCAAAAAAAATGAAAAATTTATGTAACTTAGAGGAGATTGGAACCTTTAGAGAACATGGCGAGTGATATAATTGAGATGTTGATTTAATTTCAAGTTCAAGCCTCTGCATCTTGGCTAGGACTTCGCCCAGCTTTTCCCTGTAAGGAGAGTAATGATCTGTGTGCACCAGATATGATACATTCATGGTCCTGA